GTGAATTTTGTTTTCATGACATATTGTCTTTACAATAATCATGAATAACGTCTTATTTAAGAATATTCAACTATAGGATCATCAAAAATGCTGATCAGGGCTAAAGAATATCAGGTGTTGTGACTTTTGGTGGACACGGTTTCTGAACAATTTATGGGAACTGATCATGTTGCAGCTAAAATAACTGCGTTCCTATCACGTTAAATTGTCAGTAAACAACCCTGCAGTGTCTCTACAAGCGTCCATCACTGTCTTTATGTCAGACACATCTGAAGTTTCACAGTTGCTAACTATAACAATGGTAGCCATATTAAGCAGCAACATGCTACTGTTAACTTCGGTTTTACTATGAACCACCCGGCTTAGAAAACCAAAAATCAACAGTTTGTTTGATGTTTTTTAGATGACAATTTACCACATCACACCCTAATAACACAAGACTGAAGCTCTTTCTAATAGTTTGGTTGGATTTGTATTATAGCTGCGTCACTTTTCCTTCCAGCTCTGTTCTGTTATTTACTGAATCCTTGTTACTGTCTGACACTGTGGAGATTTCTAACACCTTAAGCTGTCTGTCCTCACCATCGAAGGAGTAGAGCGCTTTGCAGTGTCCGATGACAGGCAGCGGGTCGTCGTCGTCAAATTCGTCGTCAAACTCGTGCGGGTCGGGGGTCGGGTTTCCGGGCTTTGGAGGGCCCGCGCGGCGGTGAGGTGTGTGATGCTCCTGGCTGGTGTCATCTGTGTAACTGCCCTCAGGACTGATGGGAAACAGGAAGCAGGAGTGAGTTTTTGCATGACTAGAATACATCACTGCTTCTTGTTTATATATATATATATATATATATATATTAGCGAAGCGCAGCGAACAGTAAATTTCTCCCATGACGAGAATACTTTAACAGGAATATTAACGCTGAACCAGTTTAGAGAATGTCACGTGCAACTCTGGATTATTAAATATAAAAACAATAAGCTTCATATTTGTGTGGATCATTTTACCTCTAAAGTCCATTAGAATGTGAGTTGAACTACTTTACAGTCATCATAATAAAGCTTATTCATTGTAATATAGATTTATTTTGATAACTTCATTTCATATAAATTAATATAATTTTACCGGTTTTAAAAAGGTGAAATTAAGCAATAACATGCAGAATTTTATGCAGAATAATGCTTTAATTTAATGGATTTGTAATTTTAGAATAATTTCCTAATTACACCATAGGAAGCTTTCTGCAAATAACTATGTAATCTGGTGCTAATTATAGGGGAAAGGCTCAACCAAAAGTTATTAATTCATTTATTATTGAATGCCAATTTCACATTTTTAAATGTTTAGCTGATCTGCTGTGCACTGAAGAAGTCTGAAGTCTAATTAATTTATGTAATTGAAAGAGCACCAACTGAACTCTATTTCCCTACAATCAGTAAAACATTTACATAGGATTATAGAAAACTTCCTAGGAAATTACTCAAAACGTACAGACTTTACAAAGTAAGGAATTACCTAATTTGTATTTGTTCACTGGTGTGACAAACAAACATTTAAACACACAAGCATAAATAAATCCTCTATTTTATACAAACACACAAGGATTACATCACTGCAAAGACTCCTTACTGAACTGATTCACTTACTCTTTACAAGTCATTCATAAATAAATAATGTTAAAATATCTGCCCGAACATCTTTATCTCACTGTGTGACTGTTTACCTCTCTCTGCCTTGAGGAGTGTGATGGTGGTTGTCAGCGCTGTGTCTTCTGTCCCCCCTGGAGCTCTGCTTTCCCTCCACCTCAGATAACCAAGTCTGTCAACACAGAGAGAGAGAGAGAGAAAGAGTTCATATTACAGTTAGTATCCACACAGAGTATCTTCTTTACGGAGCTGGTCAGGAGATGGAGCCAAAAGACGTATACATCAAGAGTTGAGATAATATACTACTTTAGTCCCAGGTAGGAGAAAAAGATGAGACTTTTTTTACTACCTAACCTTCTTTTCCTTCCCTTACCCTAAAACACCTTTTTATTGGGTTTTATGGTCAATTGATTTCATTGGATCATAGATTTTAGAATATGACTGATATTTAAGGGAGAGGGGGGTACAGTACGTCATAAACAACACCATTATTCTATACATTCTAACTTGATATACATTTAACATGTGACGGATTAAGATTAGATTAGCTGCCATTTAGGATTGAAGAAACATGTTAACATTTAGAAAAGACGATAGTGATAGTGATAGTGATAGCAAGACTTTTTCACTGCCTTCCCAAAACTCACGAAGGGGAGCACTAACATTGTTCCACAGCAGCCACACAGACGAGGCTGCCTGCAGATGTGATTGTTGTTTATCAGCCTTGTGTGCACAGGCATCGGCCAATGCCAGTGGCAATTAATCGGCCCATCTATACCTAGGTTTTACAGTCATGTGTTACTTTGGTAATTTATATCCAACTCTTCTGTCCTTCATACCTCGTTTTTGTGGATTTCCGAGCGTAGCTTCTCCATGTTACATATGGTCTCTGATATTTTAGGCTGCAGGCTAATGGGGTCTCCCATCTGTGGGTTTTTCTCATACACATCCTTCATCTTGTTCAGGGCGTCTCTGAAAGACACAAACAAACATGCACTGGAGTTAATGGGATGGATTAATGATAATAAGCAGTGAGAAACAACATAAGCACATTTATATTGTGCTACAGCTTCTCCATGGTGAGCCGTTACGCCGTCCTGTGCAGACAGCTTGACTGATTGAAATAATATAATTGTCTAATTATTCAGATTTTTCTGGATAAGTGATGATGCTTTGGCCTGGGCTAAGAATTGTGGGTAAGGCCCTACCTCTGATCCATCTCTTTCTGGAGCTCTTTGCTGAGCTCGTCAATCCTCTGCTGCAACCTCTTCCTCCTCTGTTCGGGGGGTAAGTGGCTGAAATCCTCCAAAGATGGGGCCTGATGGTAAAAAACACAAACACACACATATCTTAAACTAAATATTAATTCAGAATGAAGTAAGTCATGTGGAAGAGTGATCCTGTTAAAATATAACAGGCGGACTAAAGATTAATCTAAATACGTTCTCTGAGGTGTGGAGAGGTCTAAAGCTGCCCCCACTGGTCAACACACTTTCTATAAAACAAAGACTTGAAAATAAGCAGCTAAAATCAAACTTAACTTAAATGAAGTAAGGTTAATAAAAGGCAAATTTTATCAATATTTTTGCTTCTGAAGTGTCCCAGTGTCAGTACGAGTAGCTGATATTAAAATGAAGGAAAATGAACTAAAACGGAAGCTAAAACTATTTATATTTATGTGGATTTAACGCAGCTTTAGTTTGTAAAAAGAATATTATAAATGGAAACAGAAGGCAGGAAATCTATTTGAACTAGAAGCTAACGTTACTATCACTACTGGGTTTATATATTGGACACTATGGGAAGTCCTACATGGTGAGGATACGTGCACAAGCACCTACACTGCTCGATCTTCTTGTAACTACTCTATACAGACACACACTCTCTCACTTACCGTCTTTACTGACCACTGACGCATTAACCATTACAGTAAAAAGAGACAAACAACATGGGATGCTGGTTAGTTTTCAGTATATCAAATAGCCAACATGCCAGTTTGTCAGCAAGAAAACCAGTCAGACTGATGTGTGTTCCCAGTGTGGCCAGAAGGTAAATCAAAAGTGGATCATCACACACCAAAAGGCTAGTTTAAATGTTCTCACATAGTTTGTGTTCATTAAACAACAGTTGGCTTTGTTATTTAATGGACACGATGTATTGAATATATGTACTCGACTGCTGATGTGCAAAGATTCACAATTGATTTTATTTCCTGCTTTCATCAGCAACCAGTGAGGTATTCTTGTAAAGGGAGGCAGCACTTATATTTTTCTTTGGCCTAAAACTACAAACTTTCAATTAATAAAAAATAATACAATTGTGATGTTTTTGTTGATTAAAAATAGGAAGAAAATTAGGATAAACATCTGGACTGAAACAAACATAATCTGAGACAGTCTACCTACACATAGTTAATAGAGTATTTGTAACATTTCATTTAAGCCCAAAAAAGATCAGTTAGAGTTTGTTCATGAATTGTAGGGCTGCACAATTAATCAAAATATTATCAAAATCACAATATGGCCATCAGCCCCAATGAATGTTCACATATACTCTCTAGACAATCTGTTAAACCAGACAAAGCGAAACAATTGAAATGTTACAAATACTGATCTGTAGGCGGACTATCCGAATAAAGTGTTACCTAGAAGTACCCTGTGGAGCTCTTGACCAGTAGTAGTAAAAGTGTTTTGTTTGTATTGTGCAGATAATATTCCTGCTGCCGGTTTCATGCAGTTACACTTATTGACAGTTGGTGGCAGTAATGTGCCAATAAGTGTAACAGTGCACCTCTAAAGGCAGTCAGAGGAAGACTGAGCGAGCAAACATAGAGGATAACAACTCAGGATTTTAAATTATAGCTTCTGATTACTTTCATTATGGATTAATCTGCAGATTAAAGTATTTTCTTGACTGTTTTGTCTTTACAGAGTCAGAAAACAGCAAAAAATGTTTGACCCACAGTCCAAAACTCAAAGATATATAGTTTACTATCATATACAACAAAGAAAGACAGCAAATGTGAGAAGCTGTAATGAGAAAAATTACTAAAATGATCAATTATCAAAATAGTTAGCAATCAAAGTCAGCCAACTTATCGATTTATCGATGCAGTTCTGATTAAACTATGCAAATATTTAATGAACTCAACATGATTGTTAGGCCTCAAGGATACACACAATGCATTTTGGTAGGAAGCACTGAATATATTTGTGTTTGATTACAAGAAAACTCCACAGGACATTTTAACTGACTTTCCATGTCGGGAATACATCCCTCTAAATAAGCAGTGAGTATCGTTTCAGTAGTAAAACTGACAGTCAGGCAGCCTGTTGGTCCGCCTGTTCTTCTGAGGGCCACTTGACAGATTAAACCACATTGAACAGGAGCCAATCACAGATGGTCCTGACAGTACTGACGGTAGAAAAAGGCAATCCAAGCATTGGCTTGGCACTGAGACCGGCTGTTATTTACAAGTTTGTGTTAAAACTGTCTGAAAGCAGAACGCTTCAGAGCATACTGACACTGTTAGCTGAGCCTCTGCAACGCACATACACACACAGAGATCACTGCAAACTCGGGCCAGACCAACATCAAAGCAACACACCTGATGTTGGTAACACATTTTCCCACACAACACTGCAACCAGAAAGCCAAAAACCCTCCACACACACCATCAATCACCAAGGGTCCTCCATGTTGTGATTGGAGCAAAAATCTGTCTCATAAATGAAAAAGAGATAATAAAAATAAAAATCACACAAAATCAAAAGAAACAGAAGGAATAAGAAAGAGAAACAAAACAACAAAGACAGATACAGAAAAAAGAGAGAGACAGTACAACAAGGTGTCTGCAAGTTTCAGCAAGCCAAAATTAAAGTTTTAAAAATATAAACACACTACTGTTAAAACATAAAAAAACATGTTAAAAATCAAAAAATACTATTTAAAGTCATTAAAAGCTCAAGAGTTAAATTGAACTTTTCTACTGTTTCTCCAGGAACTGCAGACACCCTGTAGAAGAAATGCAAAAACATCACTTCAACCTATCTTAAATCAAACCCTACTTCCTGTCTCACCCCTCTCCTTAGGCCCCGCAAATTCTGGGGGATTCTGGGTACTGTAGTCTTTATCTCAGAAAGATAGTGGCTCACTAGATCAGTGCTGAATCGGGATGTAGGAAAAATGTGAGAGGTGGGCCGGGGACGGGGATGGGAGGAGGTGGAGGAGGAGGAAGGTGGAGGAGGAGGAGAGGAGGAAGGGGACTGGTGGGGAGCAGGAAGAGAGGAGAAAGCCAGAGGTCAGGATGACACTTTCTATGTATTTGTGCTGTATTATGAAAAGTATTTCTTGGGGAGAGAGAGTCTGAAACAGAATTTATCATTAAACATTCCAGTTTACATGGATATCATTAACACGAGTCATAAAAGAGTCAGATCGCTTTGATGACTTCAAAAGGGACTCATTCAAGCTTCTTTAACCCATTTGCACCCAAAGACAAGTATGATGTGAAAAAATGCCATAACATTTGTTCTGATTTGTCTAAAGTCTTGAAATCTGGTACATACACACTTTGGGCAAGTATGTAACAGTACAAATTGGATAAAAGTGTAATTTTTCAAGTGATAAAAAAATGGGTTTTTGAAAAATTACAAAAAATGTTTATGAAATGTTTCCCATATGATTTTCTTTTGGCTACATATATGTACCAAACACTTGATTCTGCTCCTTGATACAGATACAGAATTTCTTATCATACTATATTTAGTCTTAGTCTCTTTAGGGTACAGGGAAATACTGTTTCTTCCTAAAATGGTAGAAAATGCCCTAGAATAAGCAATACAAATATAGATTGTGAAAAATGTGATTTTTATATATGACACAATAAATGAGGAAACTATTCGCTTGAGGGGCCTTCTCCATTAGTAATTTAAGTGTGTCTGTTTTCTTCTATTAAACCTGTTATATGTATTTCAGTCAGTAGTTATCTTAAAAAAGCAAGATTAATGTTGTACCTAAGCCCTTAAGAACACGAGGCTGTGAGGTGATGTTGGTGTTTTATTTTAAGGTTCTTTTAGTTGTTTTTTAAAGCCATACATGAGCAGGTGCCCCTGAATATCTCAAAACCTCTCTGCCCCTACTCCAACTCTAGGCCTCTTGGATCCTCAGAACAATTGTTTTGAACCGTTCCATGATCGAGGTTAGTGGGTAAGGGAGATCGTGCCTCTGGGTGGCAGCTCCAAAGATTTGGAATAGCCCTTATGACTTATTTAGCCAGAAATACTTCATATTATTGAGAAATACTTGAGATTTGAAGTCAGGTTTAAAATTTCAACTTCTACAGGACACGCCTGTGAAAATGTAGGGCGCCATGTGTTAAACAATTAAACTAATCCATATACACAAACACACACCCTTATTCATCACACAGGTTCCTGATACTGTGAGGCAGCTGATGACGTGAACATGAACCAACAGCAGATAGTTAATGATTAACCAACATGGTCTTTATGGCAAGGGACAAGGTCCAGGGAGTTTATCGTAGGAAAGATTGAAGAGTGTTGTTACAAAATCCGGAGACATGACAAAAAACTACAACTGAAGACAATATGAGAATACGACAGTGGTGCAGAGAAAGAAATAAAACATGAGAAAATATCGACAATCTGCAAATGTAAGTGTAAGAAAGTGTCTTTGCCAGAGGAACAAACTGTAGAAGGCAGGGATGGAGTAATTAGAATGACTGTGTGCAGGATGTGACTAATAATGCTGCAGGGCGGGGATTTTCTGTTCAGGCAGCAAACACTGGTGCTTTCTTAAATTATATTACTGAACAATGAATCAACTACCAGCAAAATTAAGAAACACTCAGTCATTGTTCTTTATAAAATGAAGAAGAAGGTACTTTCTTGGAATAGTGTATCTGTACTGTATTATGAAGAGCTTTCATATGCATTTCCATTCAGTCATAATGAATTATTGTCCATATATAAGTATATTGATACATAACATTTGCACTTATGAAACACTGTGAAGATTACAAGTATCCTATGAATGTTGATTAATGGCTTTCCAGCTAAATGTGTTTTTATGAGCAGTTGTAATAAAATTATTTGTTTTTTTCCAATTTTGTCTCAGATATATTTTCTTAGAACATAAAAAAATATGCCAATAGAGTATAATTGCCACTTGTTTGCAAATAAGTTAACCTTTAACCTATTTCAGGATCTTTTCTTGTTTAAGTATTTGCAAACCAAATTTTGTAGAATGACTTTACTACTGTAAAGTGATGACGCTTGAGTCAATGATTCCCAGAAAGAGGTTTAATCACACACACTCCAATTATTCGTTTTTGTTGTTTTAGGAGAATATCTGTCGAGACACAACAATGACATAATGTTGTTGGCTTAGATGATAAAGTGTTTACTTTGGAGTCAGAGTTTTTATAGTTTATTTTCTGGCAAGCACCCCTCACTTCTTGTACCTTTGGTTTCTTCCCGAACAGCCACAGCTTGTTCTTGGTTCTGCTCATAGGGTGTTTCGGGTCGGATCGTGGCCCCGGAGTGCTGTCTCTGTCTTTCTCTCCTTTGGGTGTGTTGCTGATGGTCCCGTCTGAACCCGTTCTGCTTAGATTCTGACTGAAGTCCTCGAAGGGGAAGTCGCCTGGAGGTTCAAAGCCTGACTTGAATGACTCTACGACGATGGCTGAATCCTGGGAAGAAGGGAAGATAAAATTAGATGGACAGGTGAGTGGTGGGAGATTCGTTTTGTCAGGACAGTGTTATTACAGTACAACCGTCCTCTACTACATACCTTTCTTTCGTTGACAGCTTTGGCAGCAGAAACCATTCCTTCTAGACATTTGGAGACGATGGGAATGACTCTCCGCTCGGCCTCAGCAAAGCTCCGGTACGTCTCTCCGAGCTTCACTGTCCGACGTTCATCCATGTCCTGCAGATTCTGTAACACAGAGCAGAGAAAATTATATTAACACTAGTAAAAAGACAAGTGGTGTGGAGCTCACGACACTTGGCAGTAAACAACCTGTCAGAGTTAGCAGATCTGCTCCCTGGGCTGATACCCAGTCAGTATATTAGTAATGGTGTACATGAGACAAGCTGCCAAGTTAAACATTTATTAGGGCACTTGCACATGTAACAACTCTTTCTCTAAACAATGGTTTTAGTGAGGAATGCCAAAGTATGCAACCTTCTGCCCTTTGGTAGGCGCTGTAGAGCACTCTACAACGAAACAACCACACACACAGGAACAGTTTCTTTCCACAGGCCAGCACTCTGATGAACAGCTCAGTCATATAGTGTCAGTTAACACTAAAATATCCACTTTCCACTCATAAATCTTGCACACTGTATATAGAAAAGTATAGTATACTTGTGTATAGTTCTGTGTTTATTTGTACCTAACTTTGTTCAACATTGAGAGCACCAAATTCAAAGTAAAATCTCTTGTAGAGTATGTGTACACATACTTGGCCAATAAAACTGGTTCTGATCCTAAAATAACAGGGAAAAGGTGAAGGTTTTAGTGCTGCTGGTACTCTTTAATCTATGAGACAATATGAAACAAAAGTCAGAAAAATAGGTTATTTGTTTGTTTTTTTAAATCACTCTTTAACCAAATCAACTGACCAGTGACTCTAATTCATATCCCTACAAGGCAATAACTTCATGTCATTTTTGGATGGATTCTAAAGTATAACATACCTTGAAGATGTGTGGTATGGCGTTGTTGAAATGTTTCCACTGCTCTGCGTTGAAGTTTTGTAGCTGAGCAGCGTACTCGTTCTTACTCTCGTCAGCCATGTGAGTCCGTAGGTAGAACTGGGATTTGGCCTGAACAAGTTACACCAATGCAAACATTAGAACCGCATTAGCTGAAGCCTCAACAACCTCTTGTCCGTCCAACATGACCACACAAGAAAAATTGCACACATAATGGTACTTAGACCCATTCTGAAGAACAAAATGAGACTGCAGCTAAAAAGCAATGCTTAGGAAAAACAGAATATTAAGCACTTTCCCTTAAAAGGATGGAAAGTCATGTTTTAATAGGTGTCACATGAGTTCAACAGCACAAACAACACATAGACACAATGCTCCTGATTCTGCTGCCCTGAACACTGTTAACAAATTAAGATTTTACTAAAACTTCTTGCTTTAGGGTAAACACCTCCTGTAGTTATTCTGTTAAAGACGGTTACATAGACAGTACCTCATCTGAAAACAAGGCTTACTGGGCTTCTTTTACCTCTATTTGGAAATGTTTATTTTCCTTCAAGCTTTAACTTAATCCACAGTCTAAATATACAGTAAATGTGGGGAGAATAGAGCTACGGTATAATTTCATAGGCATCAATTATACACTGCTAACTTTAAGTAAAACAAAAATACTAGGTATGATGAAGTAAGTTATTCTGTTATTGAATTGTGGAACTTTAAAAACGCATTTTAATGTCAAAAGACAAAATAACTGTGTTTATTGTCTCCTCTATAAAGTTAGGGTTCATCCAATAATTTACTGTCTGGAGTCGTCTGCTCAGTATAGATTAAAACTAAGCATGATGGTACTGTCACTGATAAAAAAAAAAAAAGGAGAAGTAGAGGACAGTTTATCACACCGGCTTACAGATGAACAAATGTTTGACAGTGGGTGTGTTGTGTTACCTTCTCCACCTCTGATTTGGTGGCGTTGATGTCATTATCTAATCGATCGTAGGTAATCTGGGATTTTTCTGCTTCTTTACACTCTCTCTCAAACTTCCTTTTACTCTGAAAAAAGAGACAAAGAAAAAGAGAAAAGACACCGTGTTAAATAAAAAATAATATACTGTATAACGTCTTCAATATAAATCACTGTCTCTATTTCCTGTCACTTTCAATGAGTTCCCAGTTAATAAAACTACAAAAATATGTGAATGGGATATTAAAAAAAAAGGGGAAAAAAAGTCAACAAGGGAGATGAATCAGACAGAAAGAGATAGTTTACTTCCTGCCAGCACCATCTGGGTCACATTAGTAGAGGAGGAAACACAGTGAATAGCTGAGACATTACAATCCAGTCACTAAGTAGTCACTATTAAAGTCACGCAGACCACACACTGAAACCGAAACACTCCCCATCAGATGTGCCAGAGTAAAGTAACTCAATTAATAGACTACAGGCCAAAAAATGTGACTGAATATGTATTATTTATAAATTTAACAAGCAGCAATTTTTCAGCTCTTATGGAATTGTGGTGATTAATTATAAGTCTGCTAATGAGCGGGCCGTTATAAAATAACTCAGCAAATGCAATTGAATGACCTCAGAAGTGAACAAATGGAATCTCTCTCTGGGGCCTTTTAAGAGCCAAAAAGAAGGTTGTCAAGGGCCAAATGTGGCACATGGGCTTTTGCTTTGGATTGATTCGGGAGGGGCTGGTCCACATAGAGGCCTGTGTGTGTGTGTGTGGTGGTTGTGTGGTGTGTGTGTGTTTCCTGGTCCTGGCCCCTGTCCCTGGTCCCCATGGACTGGGACGTTTGCCAAGCAGAAGAAAAGGACAATGCTGTCTTTCACAGTCAGAAACAAACATTCTAATATTATACTTTCTATTAATTTAGAACAGTACAGAGAGCATATCACACAAATTTTTATATAAAAACGTATACAAGTACAAGAAGTGCAATTGATGTCTCTTCACTAAACAATAGCAATGTGAGGAATTTTGAGGGGGGGGGGGTAGATCCCTATTTGTCCTGCAGTTACCTTTGTTAGCATTTCTTGCATTCCTCATGCAAACAAGTATGAGATGAGTACAGCTGGCTGCTGCTAACAGAGAATATTTACACTAAACACTTAATTCTTACTCTCCATCCCTCCTCCTCCTCCTCCTCCCCCCTCATTCCTCATTACATTGTTCATCTGTTTCCAGCAATGACCCAAATGCTGCTTGGGCTTCCTGCCTCCCCCTCCTGTTAGATGCTGCACACACACACACACCAAACACACACACAACACACCACACACACACACACAACACCCACACACACACAACACACACACACACACACACACACAACACACACAACCCACCACACCACACACACCATTTACACAGAAAATACACAAAAACAATGTATATAAGAACACACATCATATGCACAAAAACAAAATGACTGGACATACACAATAACAATCCACTGGAAAGAAAAGGGCAGAGTCTGCAGCCACAGATTTGCTAGTCTTGTGACTAAAGCATTGTTGACAGCGGAACTGAGACTTAACTGCACTGAAAACTAGTTACTTATTACAAAGGCCAGTCATCATGAAACGGTATGTTACAGTCGCATATTGTACAAATGTCATATCATATGTTTGATTTTCTCAGCTCAAGTTCTACTTATTCGTTTTTTCCACCATCAGCGGTTTGCGTTTGCTCAGTTGTCATGATGGAGATGGATCTGTTCACATGCGTTGATGACGATCACGTGATGTGGTTAAAAGTATAGAAAAGGCCAGTTGTCCTCGAGTTGGGACTGTTCTGTCAAACAACTATTACTTATTATCATATACTGAGCGTGCAGGTAAACGCATCTACCTCCATCACAACTGAGCAAAACTTTTTTGGCAAAGGCCAAGAATTAACTTTAATGCTTAAAAATGTATATAAATTTTTAAATATGTTTAAAATATAAGATCTAATATTTGTGACATGAAGGGATTTACCCTATGCCTTACTTTGCCTTTCACCACCATGCATTCATATGCTTTAGATTGATCAATTATGCACTCACATACGTAAGACAGTTTTTCGTTCTCTTAAATCAAAGACTTGGAAGCACAGATGGTTGACGAAAACTCAAAGTGGATTACCACGTCAGAAAACAATACTTTGTGTGGCAGGTAATAAGAAAACAAAAGAATACATCATTGTATGGAAGAGGTTAAGATCCTAACTCTGGTCCACAACATTATTAAACAACTACTGAATGGAATATATGTTTCTTTATTCTTCAACCAGCAAAGATCGGTGCTAAAAAGGCCCACTGCTAGCCCTAATAAAGCCAACATTAACAACTCTCCAGTCATGAGCTCACATTATTATGAATAAAGACTCACTTATCACTGAACACAAAAAAACCTTTCACTTTAGCATCAGAATGCAGCTTGTTGCCAGTGGGATTGTTTTCAATTAATATGCCAACATAAAAACAAGCAAAGCCATAACTGGGAACAACAGCCTTATATGTGTCAGAGAAATTTAATGTCATATTTGACAAAACAAGAAGAGGGCGCTGTTCTTCCAAAGCACATGGATCTCAAGTTTTCAGCATTAATGGCATCAGCAGATGGTGGCAGAAGTAAAAGACAGATGGTTAACATCAAATCCAACATATTTATCCCCTTGTGAAAACCAAACAGAAAACAAATGCACATGAGACGACAGAGGATACTGAGGGAACGCAGCAAGAGGAAGTAACAGGTTTTCTGAGAAATGTGGTCTTAATTATCAATAGATGAACTGAAAATAAACCTTGTGTGCCACTTTTATTCAGCATGCAGAGAACAGTGAAGAATGAGCTTGTTAGTGTACTCACATGCTTCCTCTCAGATTTGAGGTCTTGGCTGTACCTCATCAGCTCTCCATACACCTTTTGAGACATCTCCTCCGCCACCACCTCCCTCTGACCAGCAAAGTCGTTGAGTTCATTCAGTATGGAGTAGAAGGACAGACATGATGTGAACCTGCACAACAGACACACATTAAATATGTGATTAAGACTGCACGCAACATGCTTCCTTCCTAGTCTGATCCCAGATGTTCTGCAGTCAGTCCATTAAAAGTTTCTCCTGCATCGTTTTAGCTTTTTATTAGTGACTGAATTAAGTGCACATCTTCAAATTTAAGATGTTCTTTTGGTAAAATGACTCTTTTTCTACTCATTTTTCACTAAAATTCAAACGCGCAACAAAATGTTTCCCTCCCTGCAGAGGTTGAAAATAAAAAAAGGATTCAAATAAGCATTGCGGCTATTTTCTTATGTGTTTCTGAATCAATTTAAGAATGAATTGTTGTGTGTTGTTTGTGACTTAATAGTTTCTCATTCATTGCTAAAGTAAGTTGAACCCTAACATGCTTCACATTTTTTTGCAGTGAACTATGAATAGACTGTATACTTCTCTTCTTTTACAGTTCAGTCAAACAGTAACCTTCATTAAGATAACTTCACTTAACTACAATGTGGAACCTATCAGTCAGTTAAGCTGACTAAAAATATGTGGGAATGGTGTGGCACACAGGACTGGACTGCACTGGAGTAAGAGAGTGAAAACAGAGTTTTTTTTATTGAGAAATTGAGAGATTCCCAAAAGATTCTCACCCCCGAAGTACAAGTGGATCAACTCCTCAGTGTGTGTGACAGTAACAATAAAAAATGTGATTCATAAATGAGTAGATTATTTTACACATAGATCTTAAACTTATGTGTAGAATCAGTAATGACTGTGGCTAAAAATACCAAATTGCCAACAAGGATTATTTTTATTCAAACTTTGTTATTTTACTGTCTGTGGCTCATGAAATCTCTTTACAATGTTGTTATACACTGAACCACATTTAGCAGAAACAGTGTCAACAGTCACCTGCTTCAGTGAGGACAATGGATCTACCAAATTGTATTAAAAACACATCAAGTTCTCCAAATTAAAATGTGCTTTATGAATAAAGTGATATTTTAAAACACTTGCTCAGTGCACTGTTGTCATTTGACCAATTAAACTGCAGACAGACAGAATGTGCACAACCACAACAAACCCGGTGTCTGGATCCAACAAATGAACAGTCAGATATTGTTTCCAGCCCCAGAAGGATAAAAATAAAGCGTCTAGCAGGCCTTATCCGTTCAGTGTTCAGACGTCTAAAAAGTAAAAGCAAAAAGCATAAAGACTGAGGCAAAATAGAAAAAAAAAAATCATCTAAGTTTACTCACCTCGGCTCCTCATCTTTAGAGCGTTTTGGACAGTATTTCTTCACCAAGTTCCTGATATGAAAGAGAGAGAGAAGCAGACACAGGTAAAAAATACTGTCTGATATTTTAAGCCTGGAAGAGAGACGGGCGCACACAAAAGAGGCAGGCAGTCAGACAGGC